TACCAGAATCCTGCCTAGTTACTTCTTTATTTATACTTAGACAATGTGTCTATTAACTATTCAATCATAATAACGAATTATATAGAAATAAATTAATATACAAAATAATTACATTATAATAAATAGTTACAATTAATTTCCACTTCCACTCCCTTTTGAGTTGGGATTGCAAACAGAGAAACCTTTCCTTCAGGGGGTCGCCTTTAATAAATTTCAGGTAAGAGATTAAGAAATACAAAGGAACTTTTCCTATTTTCTGCTGACTCCTGTGCCTAAACTGGGGTAGGTCACGAAAATAGAAATAATACAGAAGTTACTATTTCATAGTCGAATTATGGAATATTAACTTTTGCAAACACTGAATTTAACTGTTTCATGTGCTTCCGCGTCATATATGGAACTGCGTCACTGCACCATATAGGAAGAGGGGGTTGATCTTTACAATATGGTAACTGGTAGTTTGGCGACATTTTGGAGGCGATAAAGGTTACTACCTGGGACTTTGGTAATAATGTGAGCAGTACTCAGTTCCGATTACGCATTATTTTGTGTGAGGGAAATGAGAGATCATGGGATATGTCATGTGATATTAATGGACGAATTACGGTTCTTGAATCGGAAAAGGGGGGAAATCGGGAAAAAATCCGGAAATTTTGTATTTGGTTTATTCTGTGTTGTGTGAAACAGTGTTCGTGAATTTTTTGGATACCATGGCCGTAACTAAAGAAAAAAAAGTTTTATGGACACGTAATCAAGATTCTGAAGAAGATTAGGTAAGTTAGTATTTTTAATTACTTGAGGATATTATTTTTATGCATTGTTCTAAATGTAAGGTGGAAGTAAAGGAATTTGGTATTATTGGGAAAATTGTTATTAGCAATGATTTAGTTTAAAGTAATTAGGATTGTAAGGTAATTTTTATTAATTTAATGTATGTGCTCATTTATATTTTAAGTAGTGTTTTTGAATTTAATTATATTTTAATTAAATGATAGTTATTTTGTGAATTTTATGTTTGTAGGAATTTGGTATACGTTATCAGGTAATTTCATATATGTTCTTTTTACCGGGTTTAAAGATTGAGAAAACTGTCATGTATTTTCGTGAAATTTTTCTAATTTATGAGAAAAAAGCAGTGTACATGGATGTAGTGAAGAGTGTGCGCAATGCCATTTTTGTGCAATTCTGGGATGTTTTTTTAAGTAAAAATAAGTCGACGTGTACATGGTTTAGTGATATTTTAATTAAATGATAGTTATTTTGCGAATTTTATGTTTGTAGGAATTTGGTATACGTTTAAGTTGAAGTAAACGTGCATGGAAATAATTTAAATATTTGATATTAAGTATTTGTAATGCTTGCGGTATGAATTTGTTGGTGACGTGTATAATGTAATAAATGATTTGGAGGTAAAAGTTTTTGGATATTTTATTTATTTTATATGTGGAAATGTTCATATTTGGAAAGGGTAAATACTTTTTCGCGATCAGGTAATTTCATATATGTTCTTTTTACCGGGTTGTTTAAAGATGCAATGCCATTTTTTGTGCAATTCTGGGATGTTTTTTAAGTAAAAAATAAGTCGACGTGTACATGGTTTAGTGATATTTTAATTAAATGATAGTTATTTTGTGAATTTTATGTTTGTAGGAATTTGGTATACGTTTAAGTTGAAGTAAACGTGCATGGAAATAATTTAAATATTTGATATTAAGTATTTGTAATGCTTGCGGTATGAATTTGTTGGTGACGTGTTATAATGTAATAGATGATTGGAGGGTAAAGTTTTTGGATATTTTATTTATTTTATATGTGGAAATGTTCATATTTGGAAAGGGTAAATACTTTTTCGCGATCAGGTAATTTCATATATGTTCTTTTTACCGGGTTTAAAGATGCAATGCCATTTTTGTGCAATTCTGGGATGTTTTTTTTAAGTAAAAATAAGTCGACGTGTACATGGTTTAGTGATATTTTAATTAAATGATAGTTATTTTGTGAATTTTATGTTTGTAGGAATTTGGTATACGTTTAAGTTGAAGTAAACGTGCATGGAAATAATTTAAATATTTGATACTAAGTATTTGTAATGCTTGCGGTATGAATTCGTTGGTGACGTGTATAATGTAATGGATGATTTAGAGGTAAAAGTTTTTGGATATTTTATTTATTTTATATGTGGAAATGTTCATATTTGGAAAGGGTAAATACTTTTTCGCGATCAGGTAATTTCATATATGTTCTTTTTACCGGGTTTAAAGATTGAGAAAATTGTCATGTATTTTCGTGAAATTTTTCTAATTTATGAGAAAAAAGCAGCAGTGTACATGGATATAGTGAAGAGTGTGCGCAATGCCATTTTTGTGCAATTCTGGGATGTTTTTTTAAGTAAAAATAAGTCGGCGTGTACATGGTTTATGTGTATGTGTTATTTTGAAAAACGCGTAAGGAGTATGGTATTGTGCACTTTTTCCCAATTTTGCAGTGAATATTTGTCATGATTAAGTAGTTTTGTTAGATAAAATTTCTAGCATAAGTGTAATTCGGCTAGCAGATTGTTGGAAGAAGTGTTCAGTAGATAAAAAGAAAAGAAACATGTCTTTACTTCGTGAAGACAAAATGGCGGCGGGAAAAAAGAAATAGAGGGTTGCTGTAGGAGAGTTGGTCGCCAAAAAAACGCCAAGTTACCGTAATGTAAAGATCAACCGAAGAGGGTTCTTAAAAACTTAAAAGAAAACAAATTCTGTTATGATTCTAAAGTTAAAAGTAAATTGGTGTCAAAACAAGGTTATTCCTCAGCTATATTAATATTAGTAATCGTGTAAAAGAGGTTTTACACAAAATCCAAACATATCATAATTAAAATTAGAATTCATAGTAGTACAAACTCTAAAAATAGAAATGAAAAGCGTAAGAGGGGAAAAAATACAAGATAAAAAATATCAAAATAATAATTAATCTCCTTTTACTAAAACTCAAATTCCGAACTTATCAGGGGAAAATGAATTAAAGCTTCTATATATATGTAATAGAATCCGTCTTTTAAGTTTAAACATGTAAATATAGTTCAGCAGGACATTTAAGCCCCCCCAAGCCTTCAGGCCCCTATGCGATAGCATTTCTTGCATACCCTTATTTACACCACTGAAACTAATATTCAGTCTACAATTTCCATGAGTCAGCTTCACAGTGACTTTCTCCGAGAACTTCTTTATTTATAGATGATTGGAGGCACAAAGAGTTACAAACACAACAATAAGCAAGATTCAAGTTAAAGTAAAGTATAAATAAAGATGTCTTATTAGACACTGTAATGCTAATATTACTATGCATTCTTATTGGAATGTAGATTTCTAAATATTGTTATAGTTACCTACTTATATATAACAACTTGTCATAAGCTATATTTTTATTGTAACTATATCCTTCATAAATTATTTGCATAATTTCCTCTCTCAATTTTTGGATGATAAATTTAGTAAAAAAAGGGAGGATACATGAGAAAATATGGTATTGCACAGATAGTCATAAGGAAGGTTTATATCTGGCTAGTGGCAAACAGCTGTGGGAAAATCATAATGTCTGGCCCCGATTTAAGCAAATAGATGCAAAATTATTTTAGACCAAGAAAAATAATAGGATTAGATTCAAGTTTAAAAATATGAAGATAAAGAGACCTGCCACAGAAATTATACATCCCAATCTGGAGGTGTCCTTTAACAAAATACCAAGTTTCCTTCAACAGGGTGATATGCAAAATGAAACACTGTATTTTTTATTATTTAGGGAAAAAACAATGACAGCAAAATAGATAAACTTAAAAAAATGGCAATTTAAACAACGGCACCAAATTATAAATTTCATAAATATATATTTATATACACAACAACAAAGATTAAGTTTAATTTTCGATGTTCATGGGCAGAGAGAGGAATGAACTTTAAAAGAAAGATTCATTTTTGTGATGCAAATGAAAACTTGATTTATTACTAGCCTAAAAATGTTAACGAAATTTTTAAAAGAACTTGTAACTCAATAGACAAAATTAGAAACTACATTACTTTGAATGCATACACAGAATTGAACTGAAATAAAATTCAAAACTTCAAAAATAGCTGCTATAATAAAATGGGTTAATCTTCGAATTATGGTAACTTATTCCAAAGATTAGCCATAAAATGCTGTCTTACTAGTATATAGTTTTATTATTATGCATGGTTCTAATAAATTAGTCTAAGACACACATAGAAAAAAATTACACAAATTTATACATGTTCCAATTTTTACTTATATATAAAACAGGCACATTTAGTTCTGAAAGTTGTTGTTCAACATATAGATAAAAATTGAATTTTCAAACATAACTGGAAAACTTAAAATGAGCATCTATCTTAAACGCAAAATTATTTAATTTGATCACAGAAATCATCTCTTAATAATGGATAACAAAGATTTATGAGTTATCGGAAAATACATAGCAAATAACAACTTATCAGAAAGATAAGCGTACTTACAATAGAATCGTACCGGTTTTTCTCACACAGAGTACAGACAGATTTTTTTGGTAAATTTCGTTCAGATTATCACACACCCAGCATTCTACGATTTCTGAGAACTTAAAATGAAGCAAAACTATCCGCTGGTACTCAAAATACGTTTTTTTGCTAAAATCTCGATTTACATGAATGGGATATTAATTCTGAGTTAACCAAAAATTCATGGGATAAGTGAAATAAAAAATATAGACTTCCATATATCAGAGCATTCAAATACAACCACCAGCATTTCTTATACAAAAGTTAAAATTTCAGGTATTTAATTCAATCTTTGCAAACTAAAATTAATAAAATTCGCATGCATCGGAAACAACAACAGCTAATAGTGTTTGAAATTTACTCGAAAATGAAAGGCTAAGAACTTAATTTTCATTCGAGATGTGTCTTACTTTTTAATTCCATAGAAATCTTTTACAAGAATGATTTAAAAATAATTATGCTTACCTTGGCGGGAAAAATACTTTCCACGAATGGTGGTATTAAATCATATATGTTCAATAAGTAAACACATATATAGTCTTAAGAGTAAAATGTTACAGTTTCATAACAGTATGCACTGTGTACTTCATAAACAAAAGAAAAGTGTACCTAATGCTCACTTTACACGCTGTGTTTCTGTGATTTTTGCATTAAACTTCGTATCCTAAGATAACGTAAAATTTTTTTCGCCCATGTATACAAAAGCCAAAAAGACACATATGTAACACGTGCTACATCATGTGATCAAGGCTCATCCGACTATAGCCTAACCCTATTGGTCATATTTTCCATACTAGCGTCAGCCACTCAGAAACCAGTATTACATAAACAAAGTCGTCACCCAGCTGGCCTTAAAAGCATAATTGTCGAAAAGTATTTATATAAGTTAAAAATTTTAAATTATACTTCTGTTAATTATTTTCGACAATTAATTCTGATTTTTTAACATTTTTTTGTCCTCTAACAGGTATGTACTTTTTAATTATACTTTAGCTTAGATGAATGTGTTATTGATTAGATGTCAAAGTTGTTATCTTTCTCAATACATTGGCGATCACTTTGTCATTAAATAATTAATCGGTCCTCCTGAAATAAAAGTAATCTGAAATAGTTATTTCTTTTCTGTTCAAATAGCTTTGAAAGTGAATGTTTTTGTTGTTAGTTCTTATATGTTATGTATGGTGTTTATTATGATGTCATTTGGCTCAAACGAAAAATAACAAAAACGCTATTTGGAAAGAAACGCTTGAAGCATTATTTGTATTTTGACTTTTTTTTCTAAAATTAGAAATTGTTGCTTATCTGTTGAATTTTTGTTTTTCTTTGCGTAAAGCAATTATTATTATTATTATTATTAAAATTCATATGTTTATTCGTCATATAAAGCAGTGAAGAATTTTAACTCTGCATACTGCAAACACCAGCAGAAGGTGTCTATCCTTTCCTTTGAGAATTTTTCTAGTTCATTTGCAATGTTGGATAAATTAGATGTTGTAAATTCTAACAATGGCTACCTATTCAGTTTTTCAGTAAAAATCTTTTAATTGATAGAAATGAAGACCAATGAAATTAGTCAGTTAGTAGAATTAGGGAATAAAATTTATCATTTTTTTAATTGATATCCTTACTCGATTGTTAATTGAATGAAAAGGAAACGCTGTTTTTTGTAGTTTTTTAATTATTTGAAGTAATGAAAGTTTTACTGTTTGTATTCTTCCATGTATAAATATTATTTGATAATTAAAAGCATTTTGTTGCATTTACTTAAAATTATTTCATCAAGTTTTATATCTTAATAAATAAATTTAGTCTCATTAAATACCTATATGTAATACTATGTTAAATTTAATGTTTTTTTATAAGATTTTTAACCCTAGATCTTATTGTAATCTGTGGTGATAAACTAGGTCTTAAAATTCATGTAGTATTCATTTTGCACAATGGACGAAATAATTTCAAGCCATTGCAGTAAAATAAATAATTGTAATTATTTTATTTTTAAAAAATTGAGACAGCAAACTTTAAGAATTTCTTGATATATGAGTTAAGTGTACCAATTATTTGTTATTTATTTATACTGAGAGATTTTCATGAAGATAAAACTGGTATAAATAAAAAAAAGGGGGGGAAATATAAATCTTTTGTGAACTGTAGTTAAATTGCTTAATAATGTAAACTAGTAAGCATTAATTTTGATCTTTTTTTTTTTTTTTTTTTTTTTAAAGCTATAATATCTGAGAATAAATGTTCTACTTTGAAAAGTATACATAGCTAAATAATTACTGTGTTGATAAAGTACATATGGTTACTATTACACATTTCCTGTTTCTTATTTTTAAGTATTTCTTTCTAAAATGAAATACTTATCTCACAGTTATTGTATTTCTTAGATCAGTAATGAGATGTACAGAAATATGATTTTAATAGCAATAATGTTTCTATAGGGCAGGGAAGAATTTTATCTCATTTATTACCATATATTTTTCCTAATTTTTGTAAAAAAGCTTAATTTATTCTTTTTTTACTGCAGTGCCAAGATTAGGTTATTGCAATGATTGGAGCAAATTTCTCTTGTAGTTAGCAGTAATACAAACTGTGATACAAATATAATGAAAAGATTTCTTTTAGTTATTTAGGTACTTTTCCGTTTTGCTGCCGCAAACGATAAAGTCGCCAATAATGGTTTAACTGATGTCCAGACGGAATATCTTCGCTGGTAACCTTTTACGCCTCAGTTTAAAACAAGTTGAAGCCATTTCTTATCAGATTGTTTCTTTCAATACTGGCATACAATAATATAGAATTTTTACACGATATTTAAATTTTATCCCCTAAGACAATTCACGGTAATTAAGTCAATTAGAACGCAATTACACCGCTCATCCGAAGGCGAAATCAAGTGTTAAATTCATCAATTCTAATGAGAATGCACTAGCGAAGTAAAGCACTGCGGTTTTACATAATTTCTGAGTAAGCTATTCATACGAATTGAAATAATTCTTGCATTTAAACTTGTATTCCAAATTAAGATTTAACTTGAAATTAATGTAGATAATTACTGAGAGAATTAGATTTTAGTAGCGTAGTTTACGTGAGATGAGATCACTTGGGGTCACGTAATACGAACCGGCGAATCAGAATTTTGAACATGAAAATCATAGTTAAATTCTTAAAATAATGTCTTTTTACAAATTATTGTCTTATTTTATTGGCTTTTTTACAATTTTTAACCATATTAAATGTTTATGCCTTCAAAATAAAAAAAAAAAAAAAAAAAAAATTCTTAGAATAACTATTTTTTGTGTGTATACTGTATGTTGTCGCCAACAAAGTCTGCTTGGCGAGATTTGCGCCGGCGAAACGGAAAAGTACTGTTATTTAAGCTACCTTATATAATTTGTGTAATTTTTAAATTTGCTTTGTATTTATCAATCAGTATGCGGAATTTTGTTATATCTATTGTAATATTTTTCTCATTTGCAAATTTCAATTTTTCAAATGCATAATGTAATGAATTTTGTAGCATATTTATGAAATACAATATGTAGTCAAATTCTTATAAAAATTATGGAATATCAGCTATTAATGTTGCAAAATACTCTTTGGTAAAAGTATAGTTTAGGGCACCCCTTGGCGTAACTTGGCGATTTTTGGCGGTACATGGATACCGATTTTGTGCAATTCTTTGACTCGTTATTTTGGCTTGCGAAGCAGCGATTTTTGTGCCAAAAATCAGTGCTACACAAAGCCAAGATAACAAGACAAACAATTGCACAAACTCGGTATCAATGTACACATCAATTTATTTTCACTTTAAAAAAAAATCCCTGAATTGCACAAAAATGGCATTGCGCACTCCTTTGACTTCATCCATGTACACATCGACCTATTTTCACTTAAAAAAAATCCCCGAATTGCACAAACTTGCATTGCGCACTCCCTTTAATTTGCCCATGTACACATCGATATATTTTCACTTAAAAAGTCAAAGGAGCACCAAATTCTACAATATAGGCAAACAAAAAATACATAATCTCAATAAAATACAATTTAAACAAAAAAAAATAAAAAAAAAAAAAAAAAAAAAAAGGGAAAACATGTTATACATTTAAGCACTACCAAAGGTAAATATTCACTTACCACGATTTTCGAGTTTGCTTCGTACACCCAGAACCATGGGAAAATCAAAATATCAATCATACTCAAATGACTTTTTACAAACCAGGTACTCTTTCTGATTAAACGCATCACATAGTGACTATCTGAACCTTTCTTCCTACAAACCCATTCAAATCCATCTAAACGGTTTTTACGTTCGACTAGACGCATATCCTTCCTACATACAGGACACTATATGGCTACTAAGTAAACCTTCATTTATATGCACAGTCAATAAGCTCTTTTCCCCTTTCGCTCCAAATCGTACAGAAACTTCAAATTAATCTTAGCTACATTCGGCCATTCTACCGTCTAAAGAATCAAACCAACACACCCCACAAAAACGCTTACGAAACATCCCATGATTCAAAATTTCCCAGAATCATGCACCCGATTACGTCACAATAAGGTTTCCATAACATTCAACTATTCAGGCTACCATAAATGAAACAGCAGCTTGGCGATAAATCAAACAACAACTTCGCTATAATACAAGGGGTACCTTAAAGTCTACTCTACCCTACTCTCCTGTTACTGGGACCAGATTCCAAAATGTATATTAGTATACACATGTGCATGTACGTATGTGTATACACATTCACAGATATATATGCATCTACATATTTACATGCATACAACAACACATACTTACATGCATACATACATACATTTTTGAATCCGGTCCTGAGAACAGAATTGTACCTGTATTTCTTTTTGCTGCATCTTTGTTGCATAACATGAATCTCAAGTGTCACCTATTTATGTGGTATCTTCTTTTTTTTTTTTTTTTTAGTAAAGTCATGTGGGGAAGTTTCAAATCTTATTTTGGTCATTATTGTCCATCTACCATCCAAACCAGTCAACAAAAGGAGAGTGAAGACATTGAAAGCTGGGTGTTTATTGACATCACTGGTGAGTTTTTTAATTAAGAGAAAAATTTTTAAGTATTTTTGGTAGATTCAAATAAATTTATTCAATAACATACAAATAAGATGATTATTTTTTTTCATAACTGACAGTTAAATATATTTAATTATTTATAATAATAAACTATATCATGCATATTAAAGTAACATTAGCTCTTTATCAGAACTATCTCAATTGATTTTTAACACCTGTGTTGACTAAAACATTAAACCCATAAAAACACCTTTTATCATTTTCCTATTAGTTATTGAATTCTGCTTCAAGTTTATGCCTTTTGTAATTATTTACCTGAGGCAAATATCTTATTTATAGTAAGTATCAGAGTATTTTTTTAGCTTTTTCATAATATTAAAGTATTTATTCAGTGAGGTCTATAAATTTATTTGAAATTTACATCTTTGTCTTTCTGAGATGGATTTTAATCTTTCTGTTAAAAATGGTTCATTTTTAATTGCAGCTGAAGACGAAAATATATATTATTAAACTTGATTAAAATTATTAAATTTGAAATTCCATTTGCATGTTAAAATAAAATTTATCAAGAAACTATTAAACTTAATGATAAAAAAGATTCTATGTTTTTCTGTGTCTAAAATTAGTCAAAGATCCAGCTAATAAATTTTACCAGTTGACCGTGTGGGCATAATGGGTAGTAGTATTGGCTGCCATATTACTGGGCCCAACTTCAAATCCTGAAAAAGGCATTAATGATTGTATTTGTCTTCTCTCTTTTCATGGGTGAGGTGGCTAAATAATCAATGAGTTTAGCTCTTCCTGACCAGTACTTTAAAAGTCAGCTGAAAAAAAAAGATTTTTATTGGAGCTATTCAAAAGAATTAAGTAATATTCCAGAGTTTACTTTAGCTTCTTATGGAGATATATGTTTTAGACGAATTATTTATCTTTTGGTAATGCCTTTTGACTGTACATAGAAACTTATGAGGATAAGTATAATTCAGTTAGGCACTTGGCAATGTTTTTTATATAGTCCTGTGAATAATAATATTAGAAATAGCAGTGACTTTTCCATTTATAATACCAGTATTATAATTATAGTTTTTGGCTTAATTTGTAGTTGTTTGTAATTCTCTTTTATAGTTATTTGACCATTCCTGACCAGTCCTTAATGAGTCGGTGAGCAACACCAGCTATGTTCCATATGCATCTCCTCATTGTTCCATTTAGAAATTTTGTGGCAGAATTCTGTATTTTTGCAGAAATATTACTGCAGATTCTTCCACTGCTGGCAAATTCAGCAAGTTCATATTTTAAATTTTTATTAGACATAAAAAAATTGGATTACAAAAAACCATTGGAATATGGAATACAACAAAAATATTGCATAGGAAAATGGCAGTTTTGCTTGACAGAAGGAATGCTATGAGCAGGGTTCCTAGAGTTAGACAATTTCAGGGATAAAATCTGGCGAATTTGAATGTTTTTCTCCTAAGTGGTTGCAGTAACATGCAAGTACCAAAAAAAAAAGTTTTTTATTACTGTAAATTATTTGAATAGCATTGTGTCATATACATATGTATACCATAGAGCATTGATGGCGAACCTATGGCACACAGAGACTTACTAGCCGGTGCGCAACTAAAATATTATGTCCTTGATCAATAATTACAATAAAGTGATACTATGTAATTTGAGTAAGTGTTTTAGGCTGTTCCTGAACGTTTCACTTACTTACTTATCGCATAATGCCACTAGATTAAAACATAGATTTAAGATTTTCATCCATTGCCATAGAAATGATATACATATTCATTGACCCAGTTTATGATGTTTCAATTGTTTGGGCCAATCATATTACAGTACAGTCTTTAATCCGGACTCGTCGGGACTTCGGCGATTCCGGATTATAGGTCATCAATTTAAATCTGGTAAGATGGCATGCAGAAATTATAAAATTAAAAATATGAAACCGTAATTTATGAAATAAAGAGCAATTATGATCTAAAGGGTATCAAAATTTACAAAAAAAAAAAAAAAAAAAAAAAAAAAAAAAAAAAAAAAGGCTTAATATTTATTTGTTTACTTTATTAAACATTTCTTTCAGTGTAAGTTGTAAGATGCTTCGTTTTTTTGTGCTAATACTTTCTCTTTAATTTTATAAACAGACATAATTTCTTGTTCAGTTCCACTGTTCAAGTCCTGTAATTGCTGTGTCGAGAATACCGTCTAACTAGTCAATCGAAATTTTTTCGTTTTCAATAACCTCTCTGTCACTTTCTTCGCTATCGGAAGCGGTACATCAAAACATGCTTTCGCTTTATAGATCCTTTGGTAGCTCCAGAATCGGAAACTCTTTTGACATAATCGAAAGTCCAATGTTACTTTTTATAAAATTGCTGTAACAGTCTGCAAAAAATAATAAGCCGGATCCAATTAGAAGATTAAGGAAGAACACAATCTGCAACATTAACTGAATAGATAATTAGATAATTTTAACCTAGCTTATACCGTCCTTTATACATTAAACGTGCATGCATAAACGTATTATGCGTATGCGTAAATGCATATGCGCATGCGTAAAGGTATTATGCATTTATGCATGCGCAGAAAGTTTGTAGCTTTGAGGTCCGGATTATAGATCATTCCGGATTATGGATGCCCAGATTAAAGACTTTGTACTGTATTTGTCGCATGGCAAAGAATATGCCAAAGTTGAAGCAGCTAATGTTTGCTAAACAAATTCAAATTTATTGCAGACTGCCAGTAAGTTTCAATACTTTCATTGTTAAATATATTCCAGTTTTCAGAGCTTAGCATTTTTAGGTAATTTATGAATAATTCTAATTATTATCTTAAAAGGAATGGCATGCGGCCCCAAAAAGGTTTGCCACCACTGCCATAGAGTATGAGAAGTGACCTCTTTTTATATATTATTTTAGTTGTAAGCAATAACCAAATACACTTATATAATTAGGATTTTTTTTAATAATTGCTTTTAAATCCTTCTCTATCTAATCTATATTATAGGAAAAGAAATTGACAGAAATGCAGAATCTCTGTTACTGGATAATCCAAAACAAAATTGTGAATCTCATTTAAATCCTCTTCCTCTCCTGGACATAAGTAACACTAGTAGTACTCAAAGTTCTCCCCAGTTAAGCCCAACTAAAATTGAAGAAGGCTGGCTTGTAGCTCCTCCTCCATGCTTCACTCTTAACTGCCCAAGTATGATTGAAATTTCCCCGTTAGAAGATTTACTGATTGAACATCCAAGTATGAGCGTTTATAGCCAAATTCCAAATTCCTCATTGGCTGGAAAAAAGGCAGAAGAAAGTAAAGAAATAATTATTCAGTCAGAGAATGAAGTAAAATCTGAATCTTACAGCTGTGAAAGAAATGATAAGCAAAGTCTTTCAGCTAAAGTTTGTGAAAAAAATAGAGTCAGATCTCTCATTGATCTCAAAGGTATGATGTTTTAACAAATTTTCAAATAATTTTATAGATCAAGAACCATTAATATGTTAACTTTGTAATAGTGCTTTTGATACTTCTTTTCTTTGTTTCAAATTTATGGCTTAATGTATTAAGTAATTATAATTATTAAAATTATTGTTACCACCCCATGTTTCCTAAAAAAAAAAAAAAAAAAAAAAACTGGAATATACTGATTCTCCAAGACTAGATTTCTGTGCCAAGAGTGCAATTTTTTGTAGTAATTCATGTTTATATTGAACTTTAGAAACATTCTATGTCACATTCATTAAAGAACTGTTTTAGTGAACATGCCCTGTAAATTTCTTGTCTCTATGTTGCTTCATTCTCAGATTAGATACAAAAAACATGCTGTTTCTGAACTTTTGGAGGGCTGTGTATTTCAACTGAAGAAAGCCATAGCTTCTTTGCTCTTCTTATGTAATATATTTTAAAGGTATAAATAATACCTTGATTTAATGGTTGTAGAAACAAAGTAGTGTTAGGTGGTAGGACTAGTATTTTGGGATGATTCAAATCTTGTGGGTGATGTGGAGCATTATCTAATAATATTAATAGTACTATTAGATAAAGAATCAGATTCAAATTCTGCTTGCATTCTTATGCTGTGAATTGTAAAATGCTTTTTGAAATTTTCAAACCAATCTTTACTTGCCACAATATCTGAATTCACAGAGAATTCTCCATGTTTTTTAAGGTGGTTGTAAATTTTACATGCTTTTGGTTTAATGATATTGCCATCCAATGAAATTCTTTATTGATAGCTGTCATCAATCCAAACACCGAATGCATTTTCCATCTTCTCCATTATTGGCGTTTGGGGGCAAGCTGCACGTTTCATGGATGCCGAAGATCCTGCAGCAACTGCACTTCTTATTTATTTATTTTTTTAATAGTCCAGACTGTTGCATCATTCAATTTAAAACTTTTTCTAATGTTAAATGCTTTTTTCCCTTTTAAAAGGCAATCCAAGATTTGTATCTTTACTTCTAAAAAAATTAATTTTGTCTTAATTTTTTTTTCCCATCTTTATCGAACATGACATAGGACTGAAACTTAATGTCTTAAAAATGAAAAAGTTATTCTTTAACACACCATGGCTCGATGCAGACTGCTGACCAGCAGCGTGACACACTTTTGTTTTCAGGTCACAGAGATGAGGATTTGAAAGTTGGAACCCAAATGTATAGGCTGTGTGTTTTGGAGCTTTTATTGTGACCTCATATTGTTCACCTTCTGCAGTAGTGAGGTTTTTTTCATTATTATCTGGTGATTGTGCTCTCTTGAAGACTGTGTATTGTTTCTATTATGCTATACTTTGAAAGTTCTGGAAGGAAACTATTTTCCCTTTTTAATGGTTAAGAATTCAATGGTCGCTCTCCACCATGTGGCCCTAAGAAACATTTGTTCTTACAAGAACCGGACCTTGGAAGACAAACTGTGTTAAATGACTATGTGAGTGCTTTGCTCAATATGGAAAAATTTCATGCAGAGTTCATTAAAGTTCTTGGTATTTCTTGGGCAATTTTCGTATTGCATTAGAGCAAAACTATGTTGTAGGAGGATGCCATGTTGTAGGAGGATTTCCACAATTTACGAATCATGTTATAGCAAAATAGTGTTACAGGATGTTGTGTTGTAGGCGAGCTACTTGTATTAGGGAATTAAAATTGGCTAATTATCAGTTCATACTCTTGCTTATTTATTAACCTTTTCAAGACCAAAATGCCCAAGATGGCCTTTCTTTCAAATGACTACCACCGCCTGAAACAAAACCTCCAAACTTGCAATGTTGTTTTCTTCCCTTCCCCTAAAGGTATACATTAGCAGGTGCTGTTTCCCCAAACGCGTTGTATCAGTTTATTGCAGACAGCTTGTCCTAAAAGGAATTATTTGTGGTTATTTATTGGTTAGGAAAAGGAAAGGATGTCATTAAAAATCTTCAGAACTCTGTGTGTGTGGATGGGGAGGGAAAGAAGCTGTAAATGTCAAAAGGCATATCAGGCACTTTGGTGTTTCAAGCATACAGGTTAACAAAGGCTTATATTTTCTAAGAGTTAATAAGCACATATATTAGAATAAAGTAAATCAAATTCATTTATTTCATATATTTAATCATATAATTTATAAGTAAAAAGAAACATTGCAAAGTTGTATTTTTCCATCTTTTGTATATGTGATGAATATGCTAAAAAGGAAAAAAAAAAAAGTCTGTTTTTATAGTGGACTGTTATATTTGAAGTTAATGTAATTATGCATATTAAAATTTTAGTTTTTTTAGCAAGTCTTTTTAATTAAATATAATATAAAAACTTAAAAATCTAATGTTTGCATAATTTCTGTGTAGTTACATAGTGAGAAATAACTGAAATACTGAAATGTTTCAACAGGCTTAATAGATCAGACTGAAAATATGAAACCTGCTCAACAAGCTAAATGGGAGAATGACCAATATAAACTTTGCCCATCATATATCAATCGCCAAAACAGAGTTCATCGTTATCAGTCAAGAAAGCATCACAATCAAAAAAAGAAGAGTCTTGCCAAACCTTTTGCTGAAAAAGGAAAGCACAGTTTTTGACATATTTATTAATTTTTTATGTTTGTTAATTGTTGCATTAATAATAAATGCAAATACTTACATTTCGGTAAAAGTAATTGCATTTTCTTTGAATGTTTATGTTCAATTTTTGCATGTGTAATTAATATTCCTTTTATGAGTGAATGTTTTATTTTGTGGGTTTGTTGCTTAAGTGTAGTGTATAGCATCATTGTAAACATAATTTTAATTTTTTGTACAGTTATTTATATTGGCATCCTTTTTTACATGCAATACATGAATTTTATTTAAAATCTGTGATCTTAAATTTAGTTTTCCATGTATATTTTATACATTTATTGAATTCAGAGGGTCCAGTTCAAATTATTAGGTAGATGCTGTTACAGATCTACTTAATAATTCAGTCAGTTATTGTTTAATATTTTAGATCATCATTTATATTTTCATAATCAAGTTAAAACGCATGTGCCAGTGTTTATAGATTCTCTCTTCATTATTTGCAAAGCATCTTATACTCGCATTTTAACATTTTTTCCTCTATTGTTTTGAAAGAAGTTGATATTTGCATTTAAAAGAAATATTAAAATTCAAATTGTGATTTGTAAATTGCAAATATTTGTGCATTATTCTACCTAAATAAAATTAATTTGGTATTATATAAACATATTTGATTCTCTAAATTATAATTTATTGTTATTTACAAATTTCTCAGTTTTCGTAGAGCAAGTAAAGTATTGGACGTGTAAGTGTTTCAGTCAGAAAAAAATATTATAATTTCTGTATTTTTTATTATTTTAATGAGTAACAGAGAAATTGCTAACATAACATAGCTGCCAACTCTCCCATTTTTTCTCCCCATCTCTGTATTAGATCTAGAATCTCTCGGTTTTCTGTTTTTAGTTCTAAGGAAAATATTTCCGAGCTATAAAAGAAATTTATTGAATAAATGAAACTTGAAGTTCAAATTTCATTGCCTGTCTTTAATGATTTTCAGCATAATTTTTCTTAAGTTTTTGATATCAATAATCTACTGTAGATACATACAGAACTTTTTAATGAAGATTTAAGCAGTATTTAATCTAATACTTGATTTAGTTTTACATTTATATATGAAACATTATTAAGTTAACCCATACTAGCTAGTATACTAGCATATACATTAATTATTAATTTTATTTTCATGGTATTTAAAAGTACTTTGATAGATGAAATCTTTCTATCCCCACATATTTTCTCAGTATAAACGTGTAAGAAAATTACAAAATGAAATTAGCCAAAGAATGTAAAATTTACAATTTTCTAATTAAATATTAACATATGTTACATTAAAACCATATTACTATTAATTTAACTTGAATAATGTATTATAAAATGAATTTAATTCAGTTTATATTATAAAAGATTTAGTTTTACAGACTCAGTTTATATTGCAAAGTGAATTTAATTCAGTTTATGAATTTGAATTTAATTTCAGAGTGTTTTGAAATGGCTGCATCATACAGCTCAAAAACCTCATAGAAAGTCCTGCTTTTTGCATTTCAGAATTAGTATAGTAGATGAGTATTATAAATAGCTCAGTAACTTGAATTATGCATTATAAAGTGAACTGAAGTTGATTTAGCTTTCTCTTGAAATCATGTTTCAACCTGCCGGTTGTTTGTGAGAAAATATTATGATTTTTCATGCTTCAAGATTGGCAGCTATGTGGTAGTCATTTTCTCTCTGTATGTAATTCAGTAATGTATTAAAAATATGAACATCATTTTGTATATGCAAATATTTTTAATGAAAATTTTAAATTATTAAAATATGATTCTTATTTTTGTTCTTTTATCATGCAAAATAAGAAATGTGATATTATACATAATAAAATTTTCACGGTATTCTTTTATGTGTTTTAAGTGATTTTAATAGCATTTGTGTATTTATTACCTGTAGTCATTTATTGTGATTGTAAATAGTGTTGTCTTTTATATTTAGATGTAAACACATATATTACTATTTGTGTAATTTAATTAAGTAAGTCTGGAAACATGGATGTTAGTTTATGTGTAGCAGTATAATTTAAAAGATATGTGTGAATGTATTCTTACATATACAAATGTGCAATGTACTATAAAGGATTTAATGTATAAATGAATATGTTAGGTTTAAAAAAAATATTTAAATTTCATCCATTAGCTCATATATATATATACACACATCATAAAGTGCCTTTTTATAACAGGACAATTTTGTATTCTACTAGACAATTTTTGTATTTAAACAGATATGTACAGATGCTTAGATGCTTTATTAGATCACATTCCAAATATGTTTTAAGTATAATTGTCATTCTGTATGCATAAAGCCAAGAAAAAAATTCCTGATAAAAATAAAAAATAAAATAAATGAATTGTTTATTTTCTGCTTTGAATATACTTTCCCTAGAAATAAGGAGAAAAATGTTAAGACTAAGCAAAATCATCTTGAAGTACAAGGAACTTACTGAAATTTTTTAATAGTTGATGTAACTTTTAATAATTTATTTTCAGTTTTCAACTTCAACGCAAAACCAATATTCTAAAAATTGTTTTGTGTAAATCTGAGTTTTCGTTTGTTTCCTCACATAAGAAGATAGAACAGTTTTATTTATATCAGACGTATATGTAATACATATGAAGTAATCAGCAGACAAAATCTTTTTTTTCCTCTTTTTATAATACAATGTTAAAATATACACAGAATATAGTAAAAAAATCATGTCAAATAGAATATGAATAGCAAGATGTCACAATATAAGCAGCCCCAAGTTAGATTCAAAATATACTAGAGGTCACAACTAAATTTAATAAGAAAATGTAAATAGATAATTATGCCATTTTAAAAAACAGTATATGAGTTTCTAATCACAATAATTCATTTTAATACAAACCAGTCATATTGAGTTTGACTTATTTTGAACCCTGGACCGAACTGCCAGCATTCAGCAATTTTACTGCTCAGCTGCTGGTGGACCTTCGGTGCAGAGAATAAATCATGTCAAATAGAGTATGAATAGCAAGATGTCACAATATAAGTAGCCCCATGTTAGATTCAAAAATATATTAGAGGTCACAACTAAATTTAATAAGAAAATGTAACTAGATAATTATGCCATTTTAAAAAACAGTATATGAGTTTCTAATCACAATAATTCATTTTAACAGCATTAATATGGATTTGTTTTATTTTTCAATTACTATAGTTATTTATATACATAAATACTTGTTGATTGTCCCTAAGAAACACATCTTCTTTGGTTTATTAAATTATTTTTCTCGCAAAAAAAATGAAGTATTTTATCTGATTATAACTGCCAAATAGTTTTAACAGGAATTAATTTAAATGAAAGTCTTCATTGTTATGAAGAATAATGTAATACTCTGAAAAACAGAATCTTAACTCGCATTCCTCTGAAAAGAATAAAAATGAATGTGATAGAACAGCATGTGTTACAAAGAAACTGAAATCAAGATAAAATTATTTTAATTATCATAAACATCAGCTTATCAAAATACGTGAATAAAATATAATTTTTCATAAGCAGTTGTTCTTGTGAACAACATATCGGATAAAAACTACCCTCATATTATTTAAATAGTTTTTTAGATGTGAATCATCAAATACCTTTTTTTCACCTAGTGTACATTGTACAAGAGCTTGCCATTCAAATAAAATTTGAAGTATCATCAATAAAAGCATTATTTTTCCTCCCTGTTCTTCCAGTAACCAGTATCTATTTTACAAATAACGTACACATAGCCAGAAGTTGCAGAAATAGAACTATTCATCTTTTTCATATTATTTTCATGATTTGTATGTGCTTTGAAAGTATTACACATATAATGCAATTTTAAAAAATCACTGATAGTGATATTTCACAATATCTGCTGGAAAAAATAATTATAATTTTTCAAAAAGAAAATATTGCTTGTTGCAACATGGGTTACATTTAATGAAACAGAGTTGTGTATAGCTAAAATACTAACACTTTGGCTATATAGGTAGAACTTCAGATTGTAGTAATATAATACTTATTAGTAAAAATGTAAAGCTTAAATTTTTATAAGAAAAAAATTCAATGGGATAATTGTACAGAAAAATTAGTCAAAATAATCATAAAAATTACTAATATTAATTAAAATGTTCGGGCAGGCATTACGAATTCTAACACAAGCTAATATTTCTGAAATTTTATTTTCTTAAGTATACTTTTTACATGATGCTTATTTTAGTAGACCTTAATCATTAATTTTTATATGGAAAAAGCATAAAACTGGGATACAATTTTTGATTGGTATAAATTTTATGTAAATTTATTAATTTCAATATCTTAATGATTTTATGCAATGCATATGTATGTAAAGCAAAGTTTTAGTCAAACAAATTCAAAAACTTGCATATATAACAGTAGGATCATCTAATAGCAGATACTGTTTCCATAAACTTTAATATTTTATCACTATCTGCTTGTCCTGACCAGTGTCCATTATGCTTAAAATGTGATCCTACAATAAAACCATCTGCTTTGGCATACATTTTTACATTTTCAATCGTCATTCCTGACCCAATTAGCACAGGCAAACTCGTTGCAGTTTTAACACCTGTAAGTAAATAAAATTGATACATAAGTTGCAGGCATTAAAAAAAAAAGCCATCAAATTACAAAAATGGTTTATCAGTTGAGTTAAATTTTCCAGACAGAAATACGTGCTTTTATTTTTCACTAGTGGTAATAAAATACATAAAAAATAAGAAAATCAGTATTATAACTTTGTTAATTGTAGAAATAATTAGCAGCCCTGTTTTGTGTTATGAAAAACATATATATAAAATTTCTGAATTTTATGATTTTTTTTTAATTTCAAGCTTTGAGAAGTAAATAATATTTACAGAATTGTAAATAATAAATATATGTTAATAATCTCTATAAGAAGGGAAAAGTTAATATTTGTTTCAAAATGTTACAGCTACATTTTAAAATTTGAAAGATATTTGGATATTTCTTCAGAATTTATAAAACCTTCTCTCGTTTTATATTCAATAAATAATATAAATTTCAGTAATGTAATAATTTTCAATAATGTAAACACTTCAAAAACGTTCTAATTACCAAAAGATCAATGGTTGGAGGTAACCCTAATTTGATGCCCTAATGTAAAATACAATAGCTCAATTTGAAAATGGTAAGTGAATGGATTGTAAGGCAATGGAAATGATTGTCATAAATAACAACTGAGAAAAACTTTAAGAAGTTCAAGATTTTCAGTGCCCTGGATTGTTCTAATTATGATTTAATCCAGATAAAGGTATGATGCCTATGAATAATGCTACATCAGACCAAGAAAATTAAGTATTTTTTAATATTAATAACAATGGTGTTAATTAACCCTTTTACTTATTTTTTGTTCTTTCTTTTAACTATAATGAGTTGGAAAAAAAAATGGGATAGTTCTGTATCTCCTATTTTATTTGGTCAAGTGACAAAATTTATTTTGTGTTTTTAATTTCTCAAAAGCGTAACTTGTATGTATTAAATTTATATATAGCTCTGCTGTAACATATATATTTTGATTTTAAAAAAGGATTTTTCCTGAAATCAATGCTGATTTTTTTCCCATATCAAGTTATGCCAAACTGCCAAGTTTAGTAAAAATTGCAAAAGCAGTTTTTAAAATTAGTATTCAAAATTTTAGTTCCGCAATATTAGTTGAATTTAGAAAATATTAAATATCACTTTTTTAATTAAACTTACTTGATTTCTTCTTTCATAATTCAAAATATAAGTTTAATCTAAATAAAATTCAGGCATTTTTTTCTGATTTATTTTTTAAAAAATTTACTTCTAAGAAATTCTTATAAATTTGCCAAAAAGTTTTGAATTATACAATAACATATAAAAATCTACATACCATCTTAAATTAAATATTTTAGGTATATTTTTTAAAACATTCATATTCAAAAATTTAGTGCCATACATAAAATTAAATATTAAAAATGCTTGGTGCTAACTTCAAACTTGGTGTAGGATTGAAAGCGTTAACAGTGCCAAATCTGAACATCAAACTTTTCTTACGTGTAAAATTCTTGTAGAAAGTGCATTATAACAAAAATGCTACATTTCTTACCTTTCTACTATTTAGCCAAAATGAAATTTTACAGATTTAATAATGTAAAAAGGCATTTTATTTTTTTAATTGAAAAGTCTACTAAATATTACGCCAAATTATTCAACTGCACATTTGAAGTCAGCATGGCAGAACATGCAAAAATTATAACATTTTCTGCTATTTATAATATTCAAACCTTAAAGACCAGTGTTTTTGTTTCAAATTTTGTCTTAATCCTGGCACATTCAATAGCATAAACAAGGGAAACATTTAAATTGCTTTCCAACAAAAACTTATTTATAGTATATAGTCCAATAGTTATTCTCATTAGTAAATACTTTTTGTGTAAATGTAACTTATGAGATTTATATAACTTTGCAACGTGCTTTGCTTTTGTGCTAAACCATATTTTGGTGATGAATAATTTGATTTACCCACATGGTAAATTAAAACATCCATTAAAAAGTTAGAACGTATGAAAGCATATTTTCATTTTCCACAAACATATGAAAACGTTCCCATTTACTTCCTTCTATGAGTATGTCTGAACAGCTAAATACAAATAAATAATCAAACAAATACAGTTTTAAAATATCTTTAAGCTATTCATAAAATATATAAAGAAATTGGCATTTCTATCACTGGTCTTGAATATGTATGTTAATGAAACAACTGAAATCAGTGAAAATTTTTTAGCTTTGCAAGCACGGTTTGATTACTGACCAGTCTATAACAATTCTTAATTCCCAGTTCAATATAATAACACAGGTCCCAGAATGATCTTAAAACTCCTCATAATCCTGCTTTCTCCTAATGAATACTCCAAATAAAAAATGCAAAAATACATAAAAATGTATAGAAAATATTAAAATGTATAATTGATTTGTCTAATTTTTTATTTGGATACATTTTCCTCCCCAGCAGGAGTAAAGCCTGCATAGCTATTTCATCTTTGAGTCACTTTTTAATTGCATAAGGTGGCTATTCAAACACATTTCTTTCTGAAGAATACTTCCCCTGAGAAAACAACTAGCCACTTGTTCATCTCTCAGTATATTCTCTGAAGTATATTCTTTTAATAAAAATTAGATGAAATACATGATTATGTGAGTAATTATTATAAAGACAATTATAACCAGAAAAGCTTCCAAACCAAACTGATACTGAGAAAATATCCCCTCACAAAAAAGCATAAAAATATATGGCTTAACTGGAAAATACCCCAAATCTTTGATCTAAAATAAGCTAATATAGTGAATTAGTAACATGGATAAATGTATAATTGAAGTGATACATTTCATCATTTTCTAAAATAAAAATAAGAATAATGTTGTTTGGATCATTACTAGCAGAGGTTCATTCTTCTAAAAGAAAAAAAAAAAAAAAAAAAAAAAAAAACGGTAATAAGATCAACACTGTAGAATACATATACACAATACTTTTTTAAATACTTTTTCTGTCAAAGAAACTCATGCTGATCTAAATCTGAATCATGCCTGCTTTTAAATTTCAAATTGGCATGTCTCTTTATTTATTATGAAGAATGTTTTGAGATGCATGCTTCTAAAAAATGAAATTAATTTTACACTGCAAAGTTTAAATTTCTGTATCTTAGCATGCTATATCTAAAATAACTGTGACACATTAAAAAAAGGAGCTTTTTTTATATTCACCTTCTAAATCTTTTACATCTGGTGGATTTCCAGTTTCCATCCCAGTTAGTATAACTCCATCACTTAAGAAAAATTCTGCAGCTCTTGCTGTTTGCGATATTGTCAAGTCGCTTGTTATTGCATGAGAGCTGTAAAATTAGTAGATTTATAAAACATAATCATAAGCACATATGGTTTCATAATTCATATGCATAAAGAGGGTCATGATTATAAGTAGCCCTATTTAAATCTTTATGAAGAGCCACCTAGTAATCCATACATTTCAAAAATGCAAAAACGTATTACAAATCATGAAAAACAGTAGCTGAACCTTTTCTCTAGAAAAATAAATAAAAGGTTTGAAATTTCACTGTTAAGATATTATATAAAATTTATCAAATACAGATGAAATTTCGGTTTTGGGTGCATGTGTGTGTATATGTGTATATAAGAACTACAAACGCAAACAAAATATTTTTCAATTTTTTTCTTTATTTCATCATTCACAAGTTATATTGTTAAGAATAGTGTTTTTCCCAATAAGTCCAAACCTGCATCATTTCATCTTAGTGTTAAGAGATCACATAAATGTGTCACTAGGCTCAAATATTTTTTAGCAGTGTACCTCACTGCAAGATTCTGTTAATTAGGCTTTGCAATCTGTAAATTCTGATTTCTGCTGTCTTTCAGCACTGACAAATTATCAGGATAATTTAATCCCTGATAAACTTTGTTTTTAAGGAAATCCCTACAGCTAGACCAAGTGAAAGACACAAAAATGCAACATGAGCAAAGTAGCTAGAACAGGGTTTCCCAGCCTTTTCAGGTTATGGTCCAATAAAATTTTAATATATGGGGAAGTATCTAATGTATCCATTTTACAGCCCCCAGTTTTTAAATGCCACCAAGAATAGTGATATACTGTCAAAAACAATCCTAATGTTAACTATCATATACTTCTGAATACAAGCCAATATGTATATAAAGCCGAGAGCATGCTTTTTCTTCAAAAATTTACCTAAAATTCAAAACCTGTATATTAGTCACAATGTAAAAAAAAAAAAAAAAAAAAAAAATTTCTGTAACATTCAAACATGTCCTTATGAGGATAAAAAGGTTGCCAAGCATGTAAAACGGTAGATTATTTTCCTATCAAATCACAAATAAAATACCAGACATCAACAATGATAGTTTAAACTCTCTCTGAAGTAACTATAATAGCACATTTTTTTCCCTGTTCATTTGCTGTCTTGTATGATCTGTAGTATTTGTAAAGAAATGCTTATACTGCAAATTTCAAACAATATGTGATCGCATTTGATAAAAATTCTACATGAAAAAAGTTCAAAAGTGGAGCAAGCAACATACAAATTTCATCAACATCAGATTTTTCATTTTGCTGATGGTGTACCAAACCAGCATTATAAACAATTTCAAAAATAAAACAATACATTTTTTCATAAAATGAATACCTCATTCCATTTGAAATTATTTTTTTCATAAACTTAAAAAATATAAACTATAGAAATAAAAAAAGTGTGACATTTGGCGCTTTATTGCTTGCGCCTGGTGAATAGGAAAGTGCCTACGTTCTTTTCGAGGTTAGTGGATCTGCATATAAGTTGATCCCTGTAATTTAGCTTCAAAAAAAGTTCCAAAAAACTCTCAGCTTGTACACAGAAATCAAAGAAAAATAAAATACATGCACAATTTGTTTAGCCATAGCAGGAATAAACTATTAACTGCATATAAAAAAAGATTAGAGCAGATTAGTTTTAAATTTTAAGGTACATATTGCAGTTTTGAAAGATGATTGCTGCTCTGTACAGTGTTGATTATTTTGCAATGTAGTTTCAATAATTCTTATTATTTTTACATTTCAAAGTTGGTTGATATTTACACCAACAATGGAACTTAACTAGTTTATTCATCATGAAAAAAGAACGCTGCATGCAAAAAAATTTTTTTTTTTTTTTTTTTTTTTTTTTTTTTTTTCAAAAATATATTTACAGTTTTTGATTTTTCTAATGCCTGAAAAAGATAGCAGCTGTGAGTAGGCCATATTTTTATTCTGTGAGTAGACCAATTTCCCAAGAAGATATTTTACCCTGCATTCAAACACTTCAAAATGGCCACAAAATGAAATTATATATATATATATATAGTAGTAGGTAGGAACATTGTAGCAACCTTGCTCAAAAGTTACCAGGAGCTGTAGCTCCACGAAATGTTGTAACATAGTACTACATAACAATAAGAAATTTGCCTGGTGAAACTGGAAAAACTGTATAAGCACGATAAAATGACTGCCAAATTTTAGTGCTGGAAGACTTGCTATTGCTCGAAAAAAAGTTAATTAATCTGACCGTTGTGTAATGTGAAAAGTTAACTCACATGAAAAAAGGATGGAACGGAAAAAATATATACATAAGTTACAAAGGACAGGAAGTTACAAAAAACATGGATTATAAATGTCAATATATAAAATGCCTACACATAAAAAATTAAAACTAAAATTGCCAATATATAATATGCCAATACATAAAAATTAAAATCAAAATTAAAAAATATAATAAAAAGACACAAAAGCATCAAAAACTAGCTACAAAAACAATAATTAAATAGCGGAAAAAATGGTATATTAGCCCACTCGTACTCTCAGTTGGCTTTTCAAGGGAAAAAAAGACGAAAGACCTAATTACCAGTTCGCTTTACATTTTCTTTTTCAATTATATATATATATATATATATATTGAGGTGATGTAAAAAGTTTAAAACAAGTAAAAGCATACGTTTCTGACAGCTGGTTCAGTATAAAATACTATTTGTTACAGGACTATGACTTATTTACTGATTTGAGCACAGAAATTGATGCTGATTACGCAATGTGAGAAATAATTTAGCTGAACTCCACTTTGCAAAAGTGACTGAGGAAGATCACAGTTGTAAATAAACCCTATTTTAATATTTTTATATTAACAATTTTTTATTTACAGATGAATGTGGAAGATGCTACACTATTCTTTCAAGAAAAACACATTTTATTTCATTTCAGATGACCTTGACGATAATCTTGGCACCATTAATGATGAGGCCATGAAAATGATAAATTATCATATGCAGAATCTCGCAAAAAAAAAAAAAAAAAAAAAAGAATTTATTACTTATAATACATCCTTTTTTACAAGAAAGTTGTCTAAAGGCATTTGTTTTTGCCTACATTTCAAAATTTGGTGAAAACAAAACACAACATTATCATTAAATAAATTTGTAACGTGTGTAGTATAGCTACTGCCTTATTTAGGTGATGCCTCTCAACATACAATACAACTGTTTCCCATTCTTTCAGCATCTCCCTTATTTCAATGAAAGGTTATCATTTTGCTGAAGCTGTTATCTCCTCCTGAACTTGTTGCTGTGACACAAAATGCAGCTTCATAAGTTTTTTGTGGTCAGCTCCTGGCTACACTCTTCCACTAACTCACTGATGTCATCACTACCCATTTCTAGCCCTATAATCTGGCTATATATGGCTAGAGCCTATATATGGCCTATATATATAGCCCTATATATGGCTAGACACACAATCTCACTGATTACAGGCTGTCCAAGCATTTGCTCAAAACCCTCGGAATCACATTCAACAACACTGAGCCTCGCCAAACGGAAATAAGGGTTCTCTTGGTGAACTCTCATGTATCGTTAATCATCTTGAAGCAGGACATGATGTAAAAGTCATCTTTCTAAAACCCTCTGAAAGTGAAACTAGTTCCTTCAGTTACCTCAAAACAAAGCTTGAAGAGCGCTTTTGCATAATAATAATATGTAACGTTTTAAGATTTGAAATGACCTACAGGTATATGTGCTGCAGTAAAGCAGTAGTGTTGGAATGCAGGAATTGTATCTTGACGAATTTAAATTCTTCACGGAAATCATCTTCTAGGCTTGAAGGATATGCAGGAGTTTTGTCCATGACAAGCAAGTTAAGAAGTGAGAAAATCTCAAATAGATTCTTTTCACAGACGAACCACACACTTCATTGATCCAACTTGTAAAAAAATCACTTGTCATTTAAGCCTCTACATGACATTTAGCCTGCTCTTCTTTACACTTTTTTTGTATTATCCAAATGGTAAAAACAAGCAGCAGTTTAATTTTTAAATCACCACTTGCATTTGGACAAAACAACAGCGTGAAACAGTCTGTCACTGGCTTGTGGCCTAGCTTCGGTTACTCCTCCACTATAATATGTATTTGCTTTGCTTTGCTTTTCCAGAAGAGACCTGTCCCTTCTTCTGGAAAAGAAAAGCTTGTTTTGTTTAGTGGACATTTAAAAATCTGCTGTAGCATATAACCCTGAGAATTCACAAGGTTCTTGAATATGCCAATGAAATTCTTGGCCGCCTTTATTTCTAAACTTGCTACATCTCGTGTCTCACAGTGCTATGGATGTCAGTTCTCTTAAACTTTTCAAACTACTCATGGCTTGCCTTCAATGATTCTTCTTCATCCAATCTGTTTAACCTTATCCTTATTTTTGAGGGTAAGCACAAATCTTTGATGTAGGTGCTAGGTCAGCCCCACTTGCACCAAATTCTTACTTCTCAATGATTTTACATTTGACTTCGATGGTGAATTTTTTTTTTTTTTTTTTTTTGTCTTAGCTGTCTCCTTTCAGCATATTCTTTGGAGACAAATATGTAGGCATGCTTAAACTTTTCACTAAAAAAAAAGCACAATAATGTGTCTGAATATGACCTTTCACAAGCGACTGTATGATGCTAGCTGAACGAGCAATAAACACAGCCCAACAGTCCAGATGCAGACAGGATCCTGCATGTGATGTCATAATGTCTCCATGTCAGCCATTCCACGAAGCATCACTCACTCAGGAAGTCATTTTTTTACATTTTGTTTTACTCATTATGTGAATTATTCATAATGGGAAGTGCTCATTATGCACGGTTTAATTACATCATTACTTTATTATTATATTCTTCTAAGTTTCTTCCTTCTCTTCATTTTCAGGCTTCTCATAGCAACTATTTACATATCCATCACATGGGTAAAATGTTTTAAGTTTACAAAAGAACAAGAATTTCAGACTAAACGAAGATGACAAAATATACATATTTAAATGTGTTTCTCT